GATGTGTCCTATCTCCATACCTTTTCAACCTGTATGCAGAACAGATTATCCAAGAGGCTGGGCTTTATGAGGAGAAGTGTGGCATCAGGATTGGTGGAAGATCTATTAACAATCTGCGTTATGCAGATGACACAACCCTGCTTGCTGAAAATGAGGAGGACCTGATACGCTTGCTGCAGAGGGTTAAGGACTGCAGCCTTCAGTATGGATTGAGAGGCTCAATGTCAAGAAGACAGATTTTCACCACTGGACCAATTGGCAACATCAGGATGGATGGTTAAGAGATTGAGATTGTTAACAACTTTAGTCTGCTTGGGTCCACGGTCAGCACTCTTAGCACCAGTAGCCAGAAAATCAGAAACGTATTGCGATGGGTAAGTTGCCTGTTAGGGACCTCCCCAAAGTACTAAAGAGCAATATTGTCACAGGAGACTACTGTGCATCTGATATAGGCATGGTCTTTGCAGTCACTTGTTTTGCATCAGAGAGTTGGACAATGACTAGGAAGGATAGGAGTAGAATTGATCTATGCACATTCAAAAACTTTTCCAACAGGGTAAAAAGGGAAGCCACAGACTGGGAAAAAGTATTTGGTAATGACATATCAGATAAGGGACTTATATCCAGAATTTATAAAATACTTGAGCACCACAACAAGATAAAGTCAAATAATCCAATAGATAAATGGGCACAGGATATGAACAGACACTTCACCAAAGACACTCACGTGGCTAAATGTTCAAAACCCCTAACTCTAAGGGAGATGCAAATTAAAACACCTATGAGATATCATCTCACCCCAGTAAGAATAGCAAAATGTAACAGAACAGCAAACAACATATGCTGGCGAGGTTGTGGTGAAACTGGAACCCTTATTCATTTGTTAGTCGGAGTGTAAAATTTTGCAACTACTGTGGAAGGCAGTATGGCGCTTTCTCAAAAAGTGGCAAATAGAGATAGCATTTGACCCAGCAATTCCACTACTGGGCATATACCCCAAAGAGACCATAACTGACACCCAAGCAGATATATGCACACCCATGTTTATCGCAGCTCTGTTCACAATAGCAAGGAGTTGGAAACAACCTAAGTGCCTGTCAACAATCGAATGGATAGAGAAGCTGTGGTATATTCACACAATGGAATACTATGCTGCATTGGAGAACAAGGAACTCTGCAATATTATTCTAAATGGGTAACTCTGGAGGACAGTATGCGGACTGAAGTATCTCAGTCACAAAAGGACAAATATTGCATGGTACCACTGTTGTAAAACAGGACAGACGTTGGGGTTGTTGCGAGACTAAGAAAGAGGGGTATGCTGCATGAAACAGATGAGGGAGAAAACTGTTTAAAAGGGATATGTGATTAGGTATTTTTGTCATGACAGGAGTCTAGAGTGAAGGCT